TTATGAATTGAATTATTATGATTTCAGTGACCTGATTTCGTGTGTGATGAACTGCAATCTCTGCACACCACTTACTTACTTCTCGTAATTTTATGCAATTTTATTCAGAACGATTGTCTTCATCTTCATATTTCTTAAACAAAGAATATTGTGTGAATAGTGTATTAAGCAATAAAATGAGATTGAGGCTGCATAAAAAACTGAACTCAATAAATAATAAATTTAATTTGCATTGATGTTAATAGTGAATCTAAGGGAGTGAATTCTTGAAGATTCTTGAGATTAGCAATTTAATTCTATCGTATATTTCTAATCAAGCTGTATTCTCTTTAATTTGACTATATTCATTATCATATAATGCTTTAATGTTCATATCTTAACAATAAAATATGTACTATTGATGAAAAATATAATATGCTCAACAATGATTAACAAGTAATTATATTTAATTCCCTCAATAATAATAATTATTATAAACATCCGAAAATAATTAATACACTAATAAATATCATAATAACGATAAAAGCAATAAATTATTTTTTTAAAATTATATTATTATTGATGAAAAATTTAATTTGGCAGTGAATGAATAATTTTCGTGCCTTTCAAATATTACTTGCCTATGTTGCACAATCATTTTTGCAGAGTAATATTCATTTTCTCTTTTATGGCATTAATAAATGATTTAGTATAGTTCGTTTGCATAAATTGCAGCACAAAAAAGAATTGGATGAAAGTTTGTTCGAAAAATAGAAAGTGTTAATTATATTGGTACTTGCACACAAAAATGTTTAAAAATATAAGCTTTAATCATTTCACATATTAAAAGTTTAAAGTTTTAATGCAATCATTTCATGCAAACATTTTTAGCACAAAATTACGGCGTAGTGTTAGTAAAAATTTATTCATTTATTATTTTACAGTTAAAAATTTATATTCATATTTTGCTCATAAATGGCATTCTATGCTATGCTATTAGCATTGTAATGAAAATGAATTAATGCATCAAAATTTGGAAACGCTGTGTAGTTAATAATAGTATAAAAATAAATTAAAATTACCTTCACTTCTCTTTCAGTTATATTTCCATATAATTTGGTAATAACAGCATTTTTTTTTACATTTATGAATTAATAATACAGAAAATTATCATTGCTAATTTTGATATGTGTATTATTAATTAGTAATAACCAACGAAAAAATTATAATTTTCATTCAATTACTGAAATTTGAGTACATTATAAATCTTTTCATTACATTAATTAGCTATATGATATTATGATTATTCAATAAAAATGCAAATTTTATTTCAAGATATAAAAAGTGTGGAATACTTTTGAGACTAAATTATGCTATTTAATCACTGAAATTGATCAGCCATGAAGTGTTTATTTACATATATTAAGAGCATTTTCATTGCATATATTTTCGTTAATGTATTGCAAATTACTTTCAAGACTTGGATAGAGTAAATAATTGAGGCAGTTAAGTTATTATTTAGTCTCCTTCGAGTTTTCACTTTCTAAATCATCGTTTCATCGATTAAGTCTTTTAAATCTTATTGATATCGTTTTGCATCTAAAAAATGAAATTATTTATGAAGTCAGAATCTTGTAAATCGTTTCTTAATTTCTATTCTTGCTGATTCATTGCTAAGCCTATCTTCAAGTTTTCAGTTGAATATTGAAAAAAGAATTATTGCAAATACTAAAAAGTTTCTCGTATTCGTATTTGTAATGGTTCTTGTATATCAATGTGAGAGAAGTAAATGACCACTGATAGTGACCATTCATGCAAAGATCACTTTTGTTTGTCAATAATGTTCATAAATGCTCATCCACTCATCATACTACAAATTAACTGAAATCAATTGAAGAAATGATACAATTAAGACTTATAAATCGCTCACTTATTTAGATTTGTAATGTGTGAAATTATAGTTAAGCTCATCGCATATTATTACTATTTATGAACTGAAATTGCGTCAGTTGTTTGAGATTTATCCTTCTCATTCAAAATTTAATACATTTGTTTTCAGTTTGTGATTTGTTAATTAGCAATAAAAATAACTTTATAAAACACACTGTTTGACAAGAAATAAGTATGAAACACTGATAATAATTATTGTAATCAAAAATTATAACTTAATAATAATTCTATAATACTGTGTTATGCTGTATAATAACAATTGTATCATACTGCGCAGTGTGCTAAAAATATGCAGAACTTTGTTGGATTTTTCTTGCTTGCTTTCTAGTGCTCTTGCTAAAATATTTTTTAAAGAGGCACAGTGTACTATGAAGACAAAACAAGCAAGTCAAGTTGTTGCATTTGGTACTTTGCTACACTGCTCAGCTATCAGTACTACTGTCAAGTCAGTAATGGTATTATTTCTATCATTGTGATTAGCAATAGTAGCAGTGATATTAACAGCATCTTATTTGCAAAGTTTATTCTAAATTTTATTAACTAATTTATGAATGGAATAAACTTGATAACTGATTACACGTGAAAAGTAAACAAAGTGAGCATTGGATGTTAAGTTGTGGAAGAAGTGAGAACGGAAAAGTGTGATGCCACTGCTGTCCTTTGTTTACTTTTGAAAGTATTATCTTCCAGGCAAGATGGAACTCTGGCATAATTAACATGTAGGTCAAAGGTTAGCTCAATACTTGCTAAACTCACTTAACAAAACTAGTTCGTACCCGGCACTCCCGACAATAAATAAATACCCTACACTTCCTGGCCACGGGTATAATTGATTTGCTTCCATCTGCGCTGCGCTGCTTTACTCCTCACAACAACCCTCCTTCTCCTCCTCGCCTCTCTCATAACAAATTTCATTATTTCTCCTCATCTCTGCGCTTCTTTTTCTTTTTACTTCATTTCACGTCCTAGAGCACGTATGTAGTTGTCCGTGTACGTGTGAGTCGGTTTTGACTTCATTAAAAATTACTAATGGATCTTTGTGGAGACAACGACGACATCTGCGTAAGTGCTATCAGTATGTGACATTTTCATTGCTTTGCATTATTTTTCTTTTCTTATTTAACTTTTTTTATGCTACATTTTTTTGAAACTTTTTCAAATTATTCAATGAACAACTGTATAGTTATTGCTTGGTATTATTATTATTATCATTATTATTATTACTATTATTATTATTATTATT